GCCGGCGGCCCCGCCCCAGCCGGGGGGCCGGGGGTCGCCGCCCTGGGACGCCGCCCTCGTGCCCCACAGCGTCCCGTCTCCGCAGAGACCAGGCTGGTCCTTTTGGTCCAAAGGCTTCGTCACGTGTTGCTGGTCAGCCGGCGCCGCCGGCTTGACTTCAGCACAGGGAACACCTGCAGCAGAGCGGGCCGAGGGCCCGTCGTCATGTCGTCGCCGGAGAACCAGGGTCGGCCCACACTGGGGGACCTTAGAACGCGCAGCGCGGGCCATTGTCTTCGGAACTCGCAGAGGTCGCCGCGGTTCGTCGTGAGACGAGCAGAGGGAGAGATGGGCCCCTGAGGACCCGGATGTCGTAGTCGCGTGCCGGGGTGGCCCAGGGGCCTGGTTGAGGGCGGCCCTAATCCACAGGTGGCCCCGAAACTTGTGGTGCTGCCCAGGAAAGCCAGGGAGTGGAGGAGGGCAGCGAACACATTTGAGGCCGTGATGCACTCTCGGGTCAGACGCTGCCCGCTCAGCGTTTTCTCGCAGAGTGGAGATGGCCACCAGCAGCACAGCGCTGGGTGCCCTTTTCTGCCGCCTTGTGACTTGTTTCAAAGCCAAAAGATTTTGTGTTTTCCCTTTTACTCCTCAAAACGAGACAGAGTGTTTTGGAAGTCCAGGTGTTACTCTTTATGGTCTTACATTTCCCTAAGTCCATTTTAGCTGAGTTGTCATTTTTGTATCAACAGTTTTTGTGCCTCTTAAGATAGTCATGTAAAAAATTAAGAATTAACTGCTTTTATGTCATTCTCGAATTGCAGTCAACAGCACATCTTTTTATTTCCCCCTACTGAAGTCGACACTGGACCCCAAATATTACGGTCCTGCTCGGTAAGCATTGCACTGATGGTGTCAGGAGACGTCCGTCAGCGTTAATCGTGCTCAAAACACTAAAAAAGGATCCTTACTCTCAAGTTCTCTCAAGAAAGGGAGCGGTTCCTTGTTAATTTTTAAGTGGTCTTCCTTAGATCCAAAATATACACTGCTAAGAAAAATGACCAGTTTTAACCTTTGGCTAAAGCTTTCCCAACCCTGAACTGTTAATTCTCTGGCAGTGAAATTCGTAATACTAAGTCGAAGGTTATTAGATGCCGTAAGCCTCCTGCTGTTTAGAAATGGCCAGGGCCGTCCCTCTGCGCACCTCGGCCAGAGCACCGCCCCACAATCCTGGTGACCGTCTTCTCTCTCTCACAGGTTCGTATTAAGAGTAAATAAGCAGCGTGATTTTCTGCCAAGAGGATTTTCATTTTCTGGCAGCTCCTCGGGTTGGCTTTCATGGAAAGCTGTATCTCGTGTCCGGCAGAGCCAGGCTGCTTCAGTGACACTTTGCAGAGCGACACTTCTGGAACTCTTTCCTCTAGTTGGACCAGTGTTTCAGATAGGAGGTAGAAGCAGTTTTCCGCTTTTGGAATGGAGTTGGTTTCCGAGAACACAGCCGCACTCAGGCTCCCTCTGGTGTTCCCCGTGGTTGTAGGGTGTCAGTGAGGGGGCGGATCTCAAGCTGGGCCACCTGGAGCTGGAGGGTAGCAGTGCACCCCGGCCGGTCTGACCAAGCCACTCTCCCTTTGCCCGCTGCGGCCAGTTTTCTGCCTCCCCTTGGCTGTGGCCGCGGCCTGACTCCCTCAGGGCACCCTGCTGCCTTCAGCTGTGCCGCTAGCGGGCAGCATGGTCTCTTGTTCCTTCAGAGTCCTGGTTGGCTCTTCATCCAGGTCTCGGGTCCTAGTGATGGCACCTGACCCATCAGCCACGCGGGAGAAGAGGGGAGCAAGATCCAGGCACTAGCCATGCCCCCTGACTCAGTGGGGTGGGGCGTTGCCATAGGCGGCGGGCACCCCACTCTGTACGGTGAGATTAACAGCTGCCCCCCCACCCCACCCCACCCCACCGCTGCCCTAGGTCCGGCGTGAACACTCGCTTTATTTGTAGTCCCGGGGGAATGTTATATGTAGTTGAAACACTTGGCAAACAGTATGTTTGATACTGTTTTTGTTTTTTATTTTTCTAGTTTAAGAAAGATACATTGCTAGGTAGGTAGGGACTCAATGGATTTGTTGCAAAGCCGACTTCTAATCCTCAGAATTGGTCTTGGATTTTGAAAACCTTCATTTTTACCTGGCGTTGGCCGCCGTACGTGGCATGCGGGTCTGCGGGCGCTTGAAATGCTCTGTTTTCGGCGCGTGTCTTGACCAGTGTCATGTGCTGTGATGACAGCGTTGTGCGGAACTTCAAGCGGAGAAACAAGTCCGAGCAGAGGCTCTGTGCATAGTGATTGGTGGGGGCGTCTCTATCAAAGGGTCTGGATTTTAAACTGAAGTTTTGAAAGGTCTGCGTAAAGTGTTTCTTAGAACTGGCCGCTTGCCGTGTCGGCAGAGTCAGACTTCTTTTTGTTTTTTTAGATGGTAAAGCCATAATTGAAATCTGACTGCCACACATTTTTCAGACATAAGTTGTTTGGTCTAAAGAGGGTTTAAAAAATTTGAGCCAGCGTTGAAAAATAGTTTCGTTTCCACATGGATATCCAGGCTCCTTGCCCCTTCTGACCGCGGCGTGTCTGGCAGCCGGGCCTGCGGTCCTGGGTGGCGGGGCGGCCCCCCCCGGAGGCAGCCCCTCGTGGTCGGTCCTGTGCCCTCTGCCGCTGTGTCGCCACTGCCGGACTGCGGGATACTGCCAGTGGTGACCCCATGGTAAAGAAAGGTTTGGGGGGGCAGGCACACGTATGCCTGTGAGTAACCCATGATCTTATACCCACTTTCCCAAGTGTGTGTGTAGATGTAGGTATGTAATGTCGACTTCTTTTTAAAACTTTACTGAAGTATAATTGACATACAGTGGACTGAACGATTTTAAAAGTTTGGCATTTGTAATTGCGCATCACCATAATCTTATAAGACAATGAGTGTGTGCACCACCCCCCCAAAGTTTCCTTGTACCCCATGCCATCCCTTTCACTCCCCCCGCCCCACCCCCGCCGGCAGTCCCTGATCTGTTTTCTGTCATTAAGAGTACTTTGCACTTTCTAGAATCTCATCTATGTGGGGTTTTCTAAGCGTTTGAGATGATGCTTTTTTGTACTCTCCCCTTGCTACTTAGCCTAACTTTGAAGAGCAGCAAGGCTGCACTTGTTCTTGTTTGTCGTCATTCGTATTCGGTGACTTGTCTGTTTCCGTCCCATCTCCTGGGTTCCAGGGTTTTCCCTCGCTTATAGGAGGTCCCATTGGTTAACAGGTTTTTCGTCGTCTTTAGATATCGTCTCTGGCTTGTACTGTTTTCCTTTATAATTAAGTTATTTTAGATGTAGATAGTTTTACCACCTTTGAATACTTGAGTTCGGCAGCACCTTCCCGGGGAGGCCGGCCTGCGCGTGGGTCGGGGAGCGAGGGCGACCCTGTGCTGTTGGACAGAGGGCCTGTTCTCCGCCAGGTGCGGCCTGTTCTCCACCAGGTGGGTGGCCAGGTGTGTGTCATGGGATCAGGAGGGGGAGGCAGTGGCAGCAGTTATTAGCAGGTACATGCATTTTCTCTAGAGCTGTTAGGTGCTCACTGACAGGCGTTGCTGGTCACATGCTGAGCATTTACCCTTTTTGTTGTCACGTGGCCCAGTTCACGGGGCTCGTGGAAACCGGCAGATTGGAGCAGCTGCGTCTGGATTCTGGGCTCACGCTGCAGGTGGAGGCTGGAGTTTGAACCGAAGTCTGTTTCCTCAGGTCTGCGAGGCGCGGGAGGGGCTGTGCGCAGCCTCCAGGATGGGAGCAGAGAGCAGCGCCGTGCGGAGCTGTGCCTTGGAGGGGCCCCCGGTCACCTTGCCCTCGGGCCTGGCCGTGTACCCCGCTGTCCTGCAGGATGGCAGATGCGCCTCCGTGTTTGTGTATAAGAGAGAAAACGAAGACAAGGTCAACAAAGCCGCCAAGGTGTGTGACAGGTGACGCTTAATACTTTTTACTATGAAAAATGTGAATAAAGGCCCAACGGGGGGGCCGTAAGGACCGGCATCGACACTCAGGTCCTGTAACTGCCCCCTGCCCCACAGTGGAGGCCACGCGAGCCTCGGTCCTTTCTCGCCAGGTCACGCTGCTGGTCGGGGTCTGCCCTGCGCGTGCTGGTGCAGCGTCACCCGAGCCCTGCGTGGGGTGCAGGCGCCAGGGCGTCTCCTCCAGCGCTCCCCTCGCCCGGCCTGCCTTCCCTCCTCCCTGCGACTCTTGTGGCCAGAACGATGGCAGGGCTTCTGCAAGGGTCTGGCCACCTTCGCGGCACCACCCTGCACCCTCTGCGCACGCTGTGGCAAGGGACATCCCTAAACCAGGAGACGCCCCTCTGAGGGTGTCTCCTCCCCAGATTTTGACAGCCCTCCGTGGTCTGCTGCGCGTTTACCTTTCAGAGTTCCCAGGTAGCAGTTATTTAAATGTCGTAAGGTCACAAGGAGTAGCTTCTCCTTTGCCTCTTTTGCAATCCGGGGACGGCCGAGAAGGTAGGGAGTGGGAAAGGACCTTGAATACAGTTCTCCGTTTTCCGACTTTTACTGCAACATGTATGTAACGATAATGTGGTTGTGAGTCATTAACTTCAAAATTCTTCTGTTTGTGTTTTTAAAGCACTTGAAGACCCTTCGTCACCCTTGCCTGCTGAGGTTTTTGTCTTGTACTGTGCAAGCCGATGGCATTCACCTCATCACTGAGCGCGTGCAGCCTTTGGCAGTGGCGCTGGCCACGCTGTCCTCTGCAGAGGTCTGCGCCGGGATCTACGACATACTGCTGGCCCTCGTGTTCCTTCACGACAGAGTACGTAGCCTGGGCACGGCCACCTCGCGGGCTTCGATGGAGCCCGGGGCCTTGCCTGTGTGGCGGTGCTGTAATCGTGGTTCGTACAGAAGTCACGAGTTCCCGTTCCCACAGGAGCGCTTCCCGGGGGACGGGGACACATTGGAAGGCACAGAGGTGCTGCAGAGACGCGGCCTGTGGCCTTGGGCAGCGAGCTCTCCACCCTGGGCGGTCCGTCACGGACTTCGTTTCAGTTAACGCGTCTCCCTGCACCTGCGCGTCAGGCTTTACCTGAAAATAGCTGGAGCTGGTCTCATCGAGACACAGGTTTCGCGTCCACGCCGCGGACCAGAGCTCCTGTGTCTTCAGCTCTGTCCCATTTTCAGTTTTGAAGAAGTTATTTCTCAGAGGCGGAGTTTTACGCATTTCTCCCCATTTAAGCGGGTTGTGCCGGTGAGCGTCAGCCCTCAGCACTGCAGAGTGTGCGGCTCCGCAGGCAGCGTGGTTCCGGTCCACTCCGGTCTGCTTCCCGACCGTGACCGGAGCGCTGCCGTTGCGCTATGGGGTTTGCATCCTGCAGTGTCGAGGCCTCGGGCAGCTCCCCGAGACTAAACAACACCAGGTGCGGGTTAGAAACACTTGCGTTTGACCCACCTCGATGGACGTTTTTTAAAAGTTTTCTCTTGATGGGAGACAGACTTTCCGAATATCACTCTGGATTTGTCTTCTCTTAAAAGCAGCCTCGGGTTCACGAGAGTCATTCTTGCTTCACTGAGGTGGAGTATTTTCTCGATTGGGAAGGTGCAGGCACATGGTGACAAGTGTGACGGGCACACGGGGCAAGGCCCGCGTCTAGACCTCCCCAGAGGCAGCCACCTGACGGCGCGTCAGTCCCCAGGTGTTAGTGCGGGGACAGCAAATACCTGTGCGCTGAGTCGCCTTCATTTTTTCTGAGGCGGAAACAAGCCATCCATACTATTTTAAGCGTTCCTTTAATACGTATATGTACTGGGCTCTTTTGTGTAAAAATATCCTGGGTAGAGTATTTTTTCATTTATTTTTTCTGGTTAGAGTATTTAGAACGTACTCGTTTACTAGAAGGTTTCATCGTTTGGGACGAGGACGTATTTCAGTCGTACTCTCATTCTTTCTTTTTCCTTCTCGTTGGCTTTTACTATTTTTATAGTTTTAAACTTGGCTTTCCCGTGGTCCGTGGCGTATTTCTGGTGGTCTTTATTCCATTTTCCTCTTCAGGCAGAATTTTTTACTGCCTACTTACAAGATTTCAGGTGAAGTGGATTTGGGTTAAGGGTAGAATTTGGTGAGAAAGAATTTAGAGGAGAAAATTAATCCAGTAACTTAGGAGAGCAAAGAAAAATGTCATCTTTAAAGGCACTGGCAGCAAACACGAAGGTCGTAACGGTCTGTGAGACCACGTTTGGGGACACGTGCGTCTCCTGAGTCCCATGGGAGCGGGGTGTGCCATGTCTGTGCAGCGCCTCAGTGTCTCTCAGGCTGCCTCACGGGCCGGGGGAGGTCATGGAAGCCTCTCCACTGTGTTTTCCCCTTTTTCTGACTTCATGGTGCTCGAGCAGGCTCACTCAGCTTGTCATTCTGTCAAGCTGGGTTCCATTTACCGAGCCCTGTCTTCTTTTTGGTGGTTAGTATTTCATTTTGTAAAACTCCTGCTTCAAGAGTTACAGTGGCAGTCACTTTCCTTTTCGTCCTCCAGGGCCACCTGACACACAACAACGTCTGCTTGTCGTCTGTGTTTGTGAGCGAAGACGGGCACTGGAAGCTCGGGGGCATGGAGACAGTGTGCACAGCCCCCCAGGCCACAGCGGAGGTGAGCTGACCACGGCCTGCCTTGTGCCCGGGCCCCCGCAGGCTCTGGCACCGGCTCTCACCGGGGGCTTTCCTTCAGCGTCAGGGGACTTTTTGTCAGTGCTCACATTCGTGGAGATGCGGGATTTTGTTCTTGATGGGCACTGGAGGGCATCCATTCTTTGCTCCTCATTTTTAGCTGAGGAACCCAAGACAGAACATGGCTTGCTCTCATTTTTAATTACTCTGCTTGTGTGGTGTCCTGTACGTGATGACACCACGGAGTGTTGAATGTTGGAGTCACTTACGTGTCTGTCTGCCTTGCCGGGTGTGACAGCATCTTACACTTACCATTACGGCTCCACCTAGGACAGCGGGGTCCACGAGCGCCCGCTGGGGGCCCGGGAACTGACTGACTGCACTCGTCTCCTGTTCCTGGGGCCCTTGGTGGTGGTCGGGACATACAGTTCTTGACAAATGATTTTCGAGTCAGTGAAAGAAGGCGCTTGTTCTGTGGATGCTGGTTTTGTCTCGGTAGCTGATGAGGCTCTGAACACCCGTATCTCCTGTGGCAGCAAGCCTTAGGTGGGCTCGATTCAGGGAGGAGGTCGACAGGCTGTTCCATGTGGGGACAGCTTCCCCCTGTTGACATCTGTGCGGGGAGCGAGAGTCCTCAGTTCCCACACCAGGAAGTTCCTCTGGGGCACCTCTCAGAGCAGAGGGCGTCCGCTAAACCAGCTGCAGGGACAAGGGAGAGCAAACTTTCGTTCGTTTTCCACTGGGCCTTGTGCCGTGCCAGGCACTGCACTCACGTTTTTCTGTGGGGAGGGATTTTAAATTGGCACCTTTAACATGTGGCAGTGGTTTGAGGGTTTCGTAGCCGCTGTTCCCGTTGTTCGTCGCGTCGGTAACTCGGTGTGAGAGATTGGTCACCAGACACATGCGGCTTCTTTTCCCTAATGTCTCCGTCTAGTTCCTGAGGAGTCTGCAGTCAGCACGAGACCCGGCCTGCATCCCTCCCGAGGAGATGGTGAGGTGACACGCGTCCCCACAGCGGAGGCCGCTTCGTAGGCCTGACCGGAGCCTCCGCCTGCCCCCTCACTGCAGAGGCCTCACCCCTCGGCCTTGAGGGCCTCCACCGGGCCTCACCGCCACAGCAGGGAGCCTTTTCCGGGCACCCAGCTGACACTGGTGTACAGACACCTGGGATACTGTCTAGAGGTAGCGGGACCTCGGTGGGGACAGGTCGGTGCCTCCTGCTTGTTTCCCGGTGACCCTGTACTTCGCTGGAAGGCAGGAGAGCTGGGTGGCAGCACCCGCCTCCCCTGCTCCCCGCGGCCAGCGAGACCCCGAGGTCGCTCGGGGCGGTGGTTGGCGGTGCTGGCGAGGAAGAGCCGGGTTCACCGATTGAGTGGGAAGCAGTCGCTCCCGCTCAGCTTGTCCTCATACTCGCTGTAAACTGCCACCGGTCCCCAAAGACACAGTCAGCGTGCTTTTTAGGAAATACGACTAACTGTCCACGTCCACTTAGCTGTAGACCTAAGACTTGAAATGAGTCAGGTTCGTCCACGTTAGTCCTGTGCGCGTAGACTGCCGTTTTCAGTCAGTTCAGGGTCTGCCTAGCGTTTTGAGAGAAAGGAACAGAAGGTGCCATCGGGCATCTCAGGGTCCGGCTCGGTGGTGTCCGAGCAGCCGGCTGCCACCTGGTGCGTTTCTGCACGCGCGTTTGCCGGCAGCGCTGGGCGCCGACGCATTTTTTCTCCAGTTGCCGTCACGTAGTTTTGAAAGGCACAGACCTTAGGAGCCTATAAATGAGCCGCTGCTGCACTGTCAGCCGGGAGCGCCCTGAGTGCAGAGTGGGGGGCTCCGCGGAGACGGGACGCGCTCCCCAGGGCAGCTGCGATGCTCTGACGGCTTGTCCTGCTTCTAGTCTCCAGAATTCACAGCCCTGCCGGAGTCGCACGGACATGCGCGGGACGCCTATTCGTTCGGGACGCTGGTGGAGAGTGTGCTCACTGTCCTGAGCGGGCAGGGTGAGTTGGCGTCACGCACCGCGTCCGCAGGCTGAGTGGGAGACCACCCACGCCGCCTTCGTGCAGGTCCCAAGCCCATGTCTTCGATGAGAGCGGGAGCCTGTCCCTTCCCCAGTGGCCTGGGCGGGCCGCTCTGATGGCGGGAGAGATCCTTGCGGCTCCTGAGTCCGCCTTGTCAGTAGGAAGCCCCTCGAACGCTGGCTGTCAGTATCTCGTGTCATCGCCTTGTTATTTGGAGTTGGTTTTGATCATCTAAAGACTTGATTTGAACCAGCCAGTAAGTTAACTAATGCTGATTTACGTGTAATAACCGGAGTAGAGTAAAATTCAAACCTCGTTACTAGTTTCTAAGTCAAGCTTAACATTTCCTTGGTTCTTCCAAAGCCCTTTTGAGTTTTTTTTCTTGATGTGACCTACGCGTTGCCTTTTCCTTCCTCTGTCCCCGGAAGCCGGGCTGCTGAGCACACGCGTTCTGAGCTCCCGAGCTCGGCGGCAGCCTGCCCCTCCTCCGGCCCCCGCCTTCAGGTGTCCCCCTACTATGGCCTGGGGCGTGGGCCGCAGGCCCCTCACTGGCCCACCTGGTGCTGCGAGGCTTCGGGCGGCCCTGACGCAGTGTCTCCTCTCAGGCTCGGGTGGGCTCGGGAGCTCCCGGCCCTGTTCCGCTGGCCGCTCACGACTGTCCCAGCCTTGGTACTTGAGGACGCAAGCGGAGCAGAGGCCCTGTGGGTGGAGAACACCTTCCTCCCCACTGGTCCTGGTGGTGGGCCGTGTATCATCCTTAGGGGACCAAAATGCCATCCTCAGCTCACTTGCCCTGTCCAGGGATGAGTGGCCCCGGCCGGCAGGGCCCGCACACCTGGGCAGGCAAAACCTGCTCTGGGCCCGAGCCAGTTGAGCCGACGCCAGGATGCGTGGGCTCAGGCGGGCGGTGGGTGGCCGGGCGCCCTCCCGCTCTGCCAGGGAGTGTGGCCGCGGAAGCCGGAGCTATTTGGCAACAGCCAGGGCTCTGTCTGTTTGGGCTTTTACAGGTTGGTTTTGCTCCCGTCAGTCTGCAGCCGTAGCGGCCTGAGAGGGGAAGGCACTGGACACTAACTGGGTCTGGGTTTCAGTTTCAGCGGCCGCCCTCGCCAGCTTCCAGCAGACCTTGCGCGCAGCTCTGCGGAACCCCGTTCCCCAGTGTCGGCCCGCGCTCCGCACCTTACTGTCCCACGACCTCTTCAGGTGAGGCGTCTCGCGTGACACACCGGCCTGCTCTCTGGCACACTCGCAGCACCAACTGGAGCGGTCCCTTTCCTCAGTTGTCAGGAGAGGCTGAGTCGTGTCCCCGTGGGAAATAGAGGGAGGACCTGGGTTGCCTCTCAGGTTCCTGTCGCCAAGAGGAAGTTTCAGAAATACTTGATGGTCATAAAGGCTGGTTTAGAAACGGAGCGGGACTCAGGCTTCTGAAGAAGGAGCTGGGCGGGGCCCACGGTTCAGGTCCCAGTTCATTGAGAAAGTTAAGCATGGCCTCTCCCCTCTACCGCTGTGCCCTTGATAAGAGTTTGTTACTGTTGACATTTTCTTTTGTTGGGTTTGGGAAATGAGCTTATTTTTCTTAGGCAGAAGATTGTTTTCTTTGTTTAGTAAGACGTGCTGGAAGAGCAAAGAAGTCGATTTAGAGGGAGGGGCAGAATATAACTTAATACTGTCGCTGGATTCAGAGATGTTTTTGAACCTCTCTTCAAGGTTAGTTTTAATTATGTGTCCTTCATTTTTTTACCTCCCTGACTGCAGAACTTCTGCTCAGGTTAATTCCACATTCATGACTTTTATTAGCAAAACCTGTCCTATGTCATTTTGTAACTAAAACTACGTGTTTGCAGTCAGGGCCTGAGAAAAACTGAGCTAACGGTCTCGAGGGGGAGTGGTTCCCCCAGGACAGGACTGGGGGTGGCAGTAAACAGGCAGGGGCGTTGTTCCTTGTAGTTATTAAGGATTTATTTATCATTTGTTTTAAAGAAACTGTTGAAAACATTTACCTTGGAGGAGTCTTAACCAAGGTATTTCCACGTTCTTTTGGATAATTTATAGTAATACTTTTTTACCTTGATATAAAGTCTCATCCTTTACAGGAAATAAATCCTCTCATCACTGTGTGTGACAGGAGTTCGTTAGTAAGAACTGTACTTTATCAGGAGAGGAGAGCCAGAAACACCCCGGGCCCCCCCCAAAATCCGAGTGTTGTGGGGAGAAGCCGGTGGGGGTGACAGCGGTGGGGGGCCGTTCCTTAGACTGCAGCTAAGACACTTTCGCGTCCTCTCCCCATGGCCGGCCAGCGGGACAGGTGTGAGTGCGGCTGGGGGTCGGGCAGTAGGACATTAGCTGGCCAGTCTGCCGCCTCTGTGACTGGTGGCCCTACAGGAAGCTGACCACCTTCCCCGCCTGGCTGGAGAAACAAGACACGTCCCTCCGTCCCCAGCCCTCTTGGACACTTCTTACTTCCCAGGAAGAGACTTGAGAATCAGTTGTTCGATGACAGTACCATTTCTCCCAGGACACTCCATTTAACCACATCCCGTCATGACAGAAAACGTGGATGGTTTCGATGGTTATTTAAAAAGCACACGGTTTGTTAGCATGTGTGCACACGTGTGTGTGGTTAAGCATGTGTCTTCATAGATCTTCCTGATGCTCCTAAAATAGCAGATTCCCTGGGCTCCTTCCCTAGTGCTCACCTCCTAGGCTGCCTAGTGACAGCAGAGCCTTCTGTGTGGCACAGGAGAATGTTTCTTTGTTGACTCGTACAGCCCAGTGTTTGACATGCCTCCTCTAATCTGCTGTCCTGCATGTTTTTGTTTGGCATTTAGGAATGATTTTCTAGAAATTGTGAATTTCTTGAAAAGTTTAACATTGAAGAGCGAAGAGGAGAAAACTGAGTTCTTTAAGTAAGTTCAGACGTTACCCCCTAAACTGCAGTGACACGGATTAGGCCCACGTGACCACCAGGCGGCCTCGAGGTCGGGCGGGCATTTGGGGTCTCAGTGCAGTTTACTGCACCTTCCTCCATGTCACGCTCTGCCGGCCCGCGGGCTGGGCAGCCCAGTGAGGGCGTCAGATGCAGGCGGAGGGTCCGTGGGCAGAGGGAGCGTGCAGGGGCGGGGGGGGTGTGAACGAACAGAGTGGCGTGCAGCGTGTCTTGCGTGTGGAGCGACAAGCAGGTCATCTGCAGGGCAGGTGCCAAGGCCAGGACAGGCGTGGGGTGGGCACCGTCGTGCAGCCTTGAAGAGTGCTGACCCGTAAGGCGGGACTCTGGCGCCGACGCCGTCCGGGGAGCGAGAGCAGCTGCGAGACGGTCATTCTCCCCCAAAGGGGCCGCTCGGCGGTGGGCGGCTCCGGCTCACCTCGTCCGGGGCTGGGGCCAGGCAGACAGCCCCACATGGCCAGGGCGGTGCATGCGAGGCCACACGTGGGCGTCTGCGGTATGGAGAGGAAGATGTTGAGGTGAGGTCTTAGTGATCGTCACCTGATGATTAGGGGGCGCTGGAGGGCCGAGGGCCCAACATGCAGGGCAACGGTGAGTTCCACGGTCAGTGTGGTCGTCAGAAGTGTCCCTGGGACGTTGACGGAGATGTCCACGGGCATTTGGCCAGATAGGGCTGAGGCGAATGTTAATTAGGGTCATCAGCTTGTAGTTGACGATGTTCTCCAGAGAAAGTGGGGAGCATGACCAGGGCAGTGGGCCCAAATCAGAACGCTGGGGCGCCCAGCCGTGTCAGGGTGGTGGGGAGGGGTGGCTGATGAGACAGAGCGCAGTGCTCGGAGGTGTGGAGAGCCCGGGAGGCTGGTGTCCCCAGAGCGCCAGCGACTATCAGGAGGGCTGGTCATTTAGTCAGGGACCCACTGCTGGCCTGGTCTTGGAAAGAGCTGCTTCGGCAGTGGGCCTGGCTCAGTGCGCGCGTGTGTGAGCGCGAGGGGCCGGTGGCGTGGGCGACAGACAGGTCCTGTCGTAGCTGCGGAGTCGAGGCTGGCCGCCTCTCCCTGCAGAGGTGTCTACGTGTTCACAGGCTGAGGGGCGGAGCGGTGGGAGGGAGCAGTTGACACTGCAGGCGTGCTGGGGACTGTCCTGTCCTGGAAGGGAAGGGACCGAGGGCTGAGGCCCTGGATGGGTGGGGAGGCCTTCAACAAGACGTCCCCACCGCCCTGGGACCCGGAAAGGAGGCAGGAGTGAGTAGGGACGGGCGTGGCCGCAGGGTTATCCGCGAAGGTGTCACCTTACGACCTGCTGTCTGTGCATTTAACCAAGCGCTCTTACGTACCTTGTTTTAACTTGATAAGCGTAGTAACAGAAGCCTGTATTGTGTTTACTATGGAAACAGTGGGTCATCTAATATCCTGCACTTTTCACGTTGGAGAAGGAAAGGGCATTCGTGCTGCTAGTCAGGGACCCTCTGCTGAGGACGTTTCCCCCTGGGACTGGAGGTCGTGCGGGTGCTGACGAGCTGGCCTCCCACCTGCATTTTCATAACTACCTGGGACCGCCCTGATCACCTTTCTAGCTTCATTTCAAAGGCGTCGCTCAGGTGGCGGTGGCAGGCAGGCGCGAGTGTCTGACGGGTGCCAGCGAGCTGACCTGTCACCACCAGTCTCCCGGGCCTTCCTCCTTTCCCTCAGGTTTCTGCTGGACAGAGTCAGCTGCCTGTCGGAGGAGTTGATAGCTTCAAGGTTGGTGCCTCTTCTGCTTAATCAGCTGGTGTTTGCAGAGCCAGTAGCTGTTAAGAGTTTTCTTCCTCATCTGCTTGGCCCCAAAAAAGGTGAATTTCCACTTTAAAGGAATTAAGGAGCTTGGGGTCGCTAGTCCATATTGGAGCAGCATGGAGCACTACATGGCATAGTTACGTTGGGTCTAAAAGCAGAGAAGTTCCTGGCCTCCGATGGGATAACTGACCCAACCCTGAGTTCCAGGACCCACGGGACAAACGTGGAGCACGTGCGGGTTCCCTGTGGGCCGCGGGGGTCTCGCGCATGCTCCCACGCACGCCCAGAACGTGAAAAGCCCTTGGAGTTTCACGGGGAGACCTGCGTCTTCAGGGAACCGTGGCATGTGCAGTGGCCCTTGGAGCCTGTGCCTCCTGGTCCCCAAGAGCCCCGTGTATCTTGTCTTTTCAGTGGAAAGATTGAAAAGCACCGAGATCACTTTACTCCTTGGAGCTCCCGTTTTTTTCTGAATGTGAAATAACCTCGTTTCACAAAGTTATTACTTTGAAACTTCTAACTTTTTAAGACTCCAGATGCTAACACCTCAGGTTAGAGAGTACAGCATTACGCTCACTCTTTCGAGCCGGGTAGAGAATCCTGCTTTTGGAGTTTCTTACGAAATCTCGGGCCAGTGCAGCCGCGTGCCCGGTGACGCTGACAGCATAGAGTTTCCTGCCTCCGCCTCGGTGCCGCGCTCTTTAGCCAGGAACTTCCGTCGGGGCCCGTCCGCCCCGGCTCTGTCGACCGTGGGTGGGGTGCACTTCCGAGCCACCGGGAGTGTCAGAAAGTCTGCCTGTGTGCAGGGGTGTCACGTGTACCTCAGATGTCCCCACTCCCATAACCACGGCTGTGACACTGGGCGGAGGGGACTGTCCAGCGCCGAGCCCCGCCGCAGCACTCAACACCGCCGGCCTCACGGGCGGAGCTGCAGCCGCTGCGTCGATCTAACGTAGCACATGACATTCCCGTCACACACACGCGGTAGAGAGTTCTCGATGCAGGATGCTGCTAGAGGATGAGCTTTCCTGGTAGTGCAGTAACTACGATGCGTGTTTTGCAAAGGCTTCTGGGAGGGACAGTGCACTAAAGATAACGCAGCCCCGGGGGAGGGGGGTCCACACGGCGGTTTGGGGCGCGCGTGAGCTCCACGCTGACTTCCTGCTTCTCCCCTGCGCCACCTCCGACCTGGGGCAGCGGGAGCGCCCCGGGGCCTGCTGTCGCCGGCCCTGTTCCAGGCGCGCGTGATTCCGGTGCTGCTGCGACTGTTCACGGTCCACGAGGAGCACGTGCGCGTGGTGCTGCTGTCGCACCTGGAGGCCTACGTGGAGCACTTCACCCCGGAGCAGCTGCGCAAGGTCATCCTGCCGCAGGTCAGAGACGGGCGCCAAGGGTTGGGGCCCGAGGCAGGGCGGGCGCGGGGTTCGGATCAGAGCCGGGGGGCCCAGGTCTGCGGCAGCCCCCCGTTTCCATTCCACTCGCTGCCTGAGAGGGGACGAGGATCGTGCGCTCACTCTGCGGGGCGGGGGGGAGGGGCGAGCACACTCGGGGACCAGGACCCCGACCGTAAACCCTAAGGGGGCCTGAGGCTCCGCATCCGTGGTTTTCAGCCTCTTCACCAGCCACGCGGGAGCCTTGCCAGGCTCCGCCCTCGGGCCCCAGGTTTGTGTTGGTTTCCTGTGACCGATGTCACGCGTGACCGCAAGCTGCGCGGCTTAGAACGGGAGGGACCTAACTCTGGGTTCTAGAGCGCGGCGCCCGTCCCGCCTCCCGGCAGCGTCCGTCCCCCTCGGCGTGTCTTGGCCTTAGCGGTGTCCCCGGTCTCTGCATGTCGTCACAGGCCGTTTTGTGAGCACAGCAGTCACTGGACGTAGCGGGGCCTACTCTAACCCTGTGTGGTCTCATTTTAAGGTCACATTTTGGGCAGACGTGAGTTTTGAAAAGATTTCGTCAGTCACGTGGTATCTTTCAAATGATTTGTTTTCCTATGAGATTGATTGACTTGAGAGTCGTAAGGCCTGGTGTTAGGCCCGGTTCTGTGCTCGGGTCCTGGGGACCCAGAGGCGTGTGACACACCCTGCCCTCGGGGCTGGCAGGTGGTGCTGGGGAGCCGGGGAGGGTCCCCCACTCCGCCCTTCAGCCCTCCCGGTGGGCTGGTTAGGAAATAAAGCTGACACGAGACAGTGAACAGAACAAAATGACTTACCCGTGCGCAGGGGAGAATCGCAGAGCGATGCTCAGGTCGTGACGAGACTCACGGTGATGGGACGCGGCACCTTTTCATCCTCGTCAGACGAGGAACAGGCTGAGCGAGGCTGTGGGACGGGGAAGGCGGGGCTCGCTGGGAGGAGCCCGGGCGAGCCGGGTGCGTTCTGAGGACTTCACGGCGTGGCCTGGGGTGGCAAAGGCCGTGCGGGCTTTGTCGATGTGTGCTTTCTCCACCCTGGACTCTATCGCTCGTGGCAAGATGGTCCCTCAGTCTGTCATGGAGATGTGTTTCCTCTTTTAGAGGGACAGAGAGCACTCTTCCTGCTCCTCAGGGGACTTTAGTTTCACGTGCCATCGTGGGCTGTGCCCTAGGCCCGAGAAAGGTAGGCGTTTGTTATCTGCTGCTGTGGAACAAACCACCCCAAGCCAGTGCCTAAAACACCCGTTTTATGGATTGTCACAGTCCTTTGGGTTGGCCCCCAGCTCGGGGCCTCTGCTGCTTCATGTCAGCGGCGCCAGGGTATTCTGGGGCCCCGCCATGGCTGCCACATCCAGACAGCTCTTCGGAGGGCGTGGCTGAAAGACTGGGCTTGGCTGGGACGTCGGGGCAGTCGGGCCTCTCCGTGACGTCTCAGCTGCTGTGCCCCTCGTGACAGCCCCACGTGGTTTCTCTGGCAGAGGAGGAGGAGACTTACATGGCTGCTCAGGGCTGCCAGACGTGACTGCAGCCTTCTTGAGGCATGGGTTGAGAACTGACAATGCCACTTGTCACAGTCGCTTGGTTGAAGTGAGTCACGAACGTCAGCCCAGGTTGGCTGTGGGGCGCGGGTCACTGGGGGCTGGCTTTAGCGCCTCGGTGCCCCAGCGGGGCACTGTGTCTACATCTGTCATGCAGCAGTAACCGTCAGCCCACGTATGGCTGTGTGTGCCTGGGAGCTTAGGAACAGAGCACTCTAGCTCTGAACTAGAGGTGTCACCACAGGCCTCAGAACTGGCACTGAGCTGAGGTCAGAGAACGACCGCCTGGCCCGCGAGGGAGGTGTGGCAGCCCTCGCTGGAGCTCCGTGCCCTGCGGGGGAAGACGCGGCCATCGTGTTTTCGTTTTTAAGCTGCTGGAGAGTTCGTGTTTCTTGGGTGGAGGATGCACTGGGCCATAGTGGGCTCGTACTGGGTAGCTGATTTTTCGATGACATAGCTGTTAGCCCAGAGGTGGCGCGATGACCTTAGGAATCTGTCTTTTCATCCATATCTGCTCGTTCGTAGCCCTCTTCTTTGTCCTCATACAGTCCATCTTTAGCATCCTGTGGGTCACAAACCTACTGCGGGTGTTTAACATACCTTGTGAATTCTACCTACAACTTACAAACTACTTGTTTACTTCCTGTCTGTACTTTGTCAAAAAAAAAAAAGGAAGTGTTATCTTTTCAATTATAGTCAACATACAGTATTATATTAGCTTCAAGTGTACAACATAGTGATTAGACATTTGTATAACTTAGGAAGTGATCACCCCATTAAACCTAGTGCCCATCTGACACCATACATAGTCATCATCATTGGCTATGTTCCTTCTGTACGTTACATCTCTGACTGTTTTTATAACTGGCAGTTTGTACGGTCTCTTCTCCTTTTTCACCTATGCTCCCAGCCTTCCCTCCCCCCGCCTGCCATCGGGCAGCCATCAGAATGTTCTCTGTATCCGTGAGTTTGTTTTGTTGGTTTATTTTTGTTTTTTAGATTACACATCTAAATGAAACATAGAGTATTTCTCTCTCTCTGTCTGATTTATTTCACTTACATAATACCCTCTGCGTCTGTCCGTGTTGTCTCAGGTGGCAGGATTTCATTCCTTTTTGGCTGAGGAACATCCTGTTGTATGTGTGTATTGTCTCTTTATCCATTTAACTGTCGGGATGCTCAGGTTGCTTCCGTATCTTGGGTATTGTAAATAATACTGCAATGAATATAGGGATGTGTATAGCTTTTCAGATTAGTGTTTCGGTTTTCTGTGGATAAAAATCCAGAAGTGGAATTGCCGAGTCATATGGTAGTTTTGTCTTTAATTTTTTGAGGAGCCACCAGCCCGTTCTCCATAGCAGATGCACCAGTTCCCAGTCCCACCAGCAGTGGGCCAAACGTCCTCGCCTGCACTCGTTTGCTGACTTATTGAGGGCAGACCTTCCGGCAGGTGTGAGTGGGCATCTCATTGTGGTTTTAACTTGCATTCCCCTGACGATTGCTGATGTCGGGCCTCTCTTCACATTCCCTCTCTAGAGACATATGTCATTCACGTCATCAGCCCACTTTTCAATTGGATTGCTTGGTTTTTCTTGGTGTAAGTTGCATGAATGAGTTCCTTATGTATTTTGGGTATTGATCTCTTATGAAATGTATTATTGGTAATCTCTTTCCCCATTAGGTTGTATTTTTGTTTTGTTGATGATTTCCTTTGCTGTGTCAAACCTTTTTTGGTTTCATATAGTCCTATTTATTTTTTCTTTTGTTTCCCTGACCCAAGAAGAGACATCCAAAAAATCGTTATTAAGAGCGATAGCAGAGTTTGCTGCCTGTTTTCTTCTAGGAGTTCTATGGTTTGGGGGTCTTAAATTTTGACTTTATTCTTGTACATGGTATAAGAAAGTGGTCTAGTTTCTTTTTTTTTTTTTTTTTACATGTATCTGTCCAGTTTTATCAATGCCATTTGTCGAAGAGACTGTGTTTATCCCATTGTATATTCTCGCCTACTTTGTCATTGATTAATTGACCATATAAACACGGTTTATCTCTAGGCTCTCTCTTCTGTTCCATTATCCCATGTGTCTGTTTTTATGCCAGTCCCATGCTGTTTTAATTACTATAGCCTCGTAGTGTAGTTTGAGATCAGGTAGCGTGATACTCCAACTTTGTTTTTCAAGATCGTGTTGGTTATTCCAGGTCTTTCATGGTTCCATATAAGTTTTAGGATTATTCTGTTTCTGTCAGAAATGGTGTTGGTCTTTCGATAGGGATTGCATTGAATATGTGCATTGCTTTGGGTGGTTTGGACGTGTGACTGTTAATCTTCCTGTCGGTGAGCACGGTGTAGCTTCCGTTTATTTGTATCTTTAGTTTCTTTCTTCAGTGTCTCATAGTTTTTCCGAGTCCAGGTCCTTTACCTCCTTGGTTAAATTTATTCTTAGGTATTTTATTCGTTTTTGATGCAACTGAAACTGGGATTGTTTTTTTTATTTCATTTTCTGATAGTTTTTTATTGTTGTGTAAAGTGCAGCCAACTCTTAAATATTAATTTGTAACCTGCTGCTTTACTGAATTCATGTATTAATTCTAATAGTTTTTTGGTGGAATCTTTAGGGTTCTCTATATATAGTATGTCATTTGCAAAGAATGAGTTTTACATCTTCCTTTCCCATTTGGATGCCTTTTACTTGACTTTCTCGTTGGATTTCTGTGGCTAGGATTTCCAGTACTATGTTGATTAAAACTGGTGAAAGTCGACATTCTTGTCTTGTTCCTGATCTTTAAAAAAGCTTTCAGTTTTTCACCATTGAGTATGATGTCAGCTGTGGGTTTGTCACGTACGGCCTTTATTGTGTTGAGGTATGTCCCCTCTGTCCCCACTTTGCTGAGAGTTTTTATCATAACTGAATGTTGGATTTTGTCAAATGCATTTTCTGCATCTATTTTGATACATCGTAGGAGTTTCATCTTTCATTTCGTTTATGTGCTGTACCATGTTAATTGATTTGTGGCTGTTGATCCAGTCTTGCACACCAGGAATAAATCCCACTTGATGATAGTTTATCATTTTAATGCATTGCTGAATTCCGTTTGCTAATATTTTATTGAGGATTTTTGTATTCAGAATTTTTAGTAGTTATCAGTCAGTTCATATTTTTTGTTCCTGATTCAGCCTTGGAAGACTGGTATCTCTAGGAATTTATCTGTTCCTTCCAGTTGTCCAATTTGTTGGCATATAAGTATTCATAGTATTTTATTATTCTTTGTATTTCTATGGTATTGGTTATCACTTCCATTTATTTGGGCTTTCTCTCTCTTGATGAGTCTGGCTAAAGGTTAAGTTAGGTTATTAATTTTGTTTACCTTTTCTAAGAACGAGCTCTTGGTTTCATTGATCTTTTCTGTTGGTTTTTGGACTCTTTCGTGTGTTTCATTTCCGATCTTTAGTATTTTCTTCTCACTTTGGGCACTGTTCTTTTTCTGGTTCCTCTAGGGCATAGAGGACATTGTGTAAGATGACTTGTTTGAGGTTCTTGTTTTTGAGGCAGGCTTGTACTGCTGTGTCCCCATAGATTTTGGGTTGTTGTGTTTTCATTTTCATTTGTCTCAGCTGTCTTTTAATTTCCTTGTTAATTCATTTATTGTTTAGTAGCATTTTATTTAGCCCCCGTGTGTTTGTATGATTTTCAGTTTTCTTCAGGTAATTGATGTCTAGTTTCACAGCATTGTGATTAGAAAGGAAGCTCAGTATGATTTCAGTCTTGTTAAATTCATTGAGACATGTCGTGTGGCCTACCGTGGTCTGTGTTGGAAAACATTGCCTGTGCACATGAAAAGATGGCACATGCTGCTTTGGGGTGAAATGCTCTAAAAATGTCCATTAAGTCCATCGGATCTAATGTGTCATTAAAGGCCACTGTTTCCTTGTTGCTTTTCTGTCTGGATGGTCTGTCCATGGATGTTAATGAGGTATTAAAGTCCCCTACTCTGACTGCATTACTGTCGGGCTCTCCCTTTATGTCCATCCGTGTTCGCTTTATACGTTTAGATGTTCCTACGTTGGGTAGGTAGATGTTTCAGAGTTATGTTCTCTTGTTGGGTTGACTTCTTTATCATTACGAAATGTCTTTGTGTCTTGTTATAGCCCTTGTTTTAATATCTGTTTTGTCTGATATAAGTGTCGCTACCCCACCTTTTTGTTTGTTTCCCTTTGCATGAAATATCTTTCCGTGCCTTTGCTTCAGGCTGTCTTTTGATTTAAAGTGGGTCTCTTGGAGGCAGAATAAGTATAGGGTTTTTTTTTTATCCATTCAGCTACCTTATATCTTTAGATTGGAGCATTTAGTCCGTTGATAGTTAAAGTAATTGTTGATAGGTATGTAGTTACTGTCATATTATTCACATCTTTGGTCTTGTTTTTCCTCGAAGTCCCTCTAACAGTTGTAACAGTGGTTGGGTGGTGATGAACTCCTTCAGTTGTTTCTCATCTGGGAAGGTCTTTATCACTCCTTTGACTCTAGGTGACAGCTTGCTGGGTAGAGCAGTCTCAGTTAGAGGTCCGTGCTTTTCATCACTTTGAATATTTCCTGCCAATCCCTTCTGGCCTGCCAAGTTTCTGCTGAAAACTCAGCCGACAGTTTTATGGGAGTGACCTTACAGATAATTAACTGTTTTTCTCTTACTCCTTTTAAGATTCTTGCTTTGTCTTTAACCTTTGACTTTTTCACGATGACGTGTCTTGGTGTGGGCCTTTTGGGGTCATCTTGTTTGAGACTCTGAGCTTCCTGGGCTTGTGTGTCTGTTTCTTTTGCCGGGTTAGGGATGTTTTCAGTCATCATTTCTTCAAATAGGTCCTCAATCCCTTTCTCTCTCTCCTTCCGGTACCCTTATGATGCAAATGTTGGTATGCTTGATGTTGTCCCAGAGGCCCCTTAAACTGTCATTTTAAAATTTTTTTGCTGTTCCTGTTGGGTGTTTCCTGCTACATTGCCTTCTCAATTGCTCATCCGATCCTCTGCTTCATCAGATCTGTTGTTGATTCTATCTAATGTATCCTTCATTTCTGATATTGTTTTCCTCATTTCGGGATGGTTTTTTTTTTGTAGTTGCTGTCTCTTTGTGGAAGTTCTCACTGAGTTCATCGTTCCTCCCCCAAGTTCATTGGCTGTCCTTGTAACCGATGTTTTGAACTCTGTCTGGTAGATGGCTTGTCTTCATTTTGTTTAGTTCTAGAGTTTTGCCCTGTCCTCCCGTTTGGGACGTGTTTGTCTCCTCACTTCGGCTAGCTCCGTTTGTTCCTGTTAGACCAGGTACATCTCCCCGTCTTGGCTTGCTGACCTTACGTAGTAAGTATCCTGTGGGGCCCAGTGATGCTGTCTCCCTGGTCACCTGAACAGGGCGCTTCTGGGTCATGTGTGCCCTCCTCTTGTAGCTGAGTCTTAATTACTGTTGGCACATGAGTGGGTGGGATTGACTCTCAGGCTGACGCTGTGAGGACTGGTCGTGACTATAAAGGATGAGCTGTTGTGGGAGTGCTGACCCCATGGAGCAGAATCTGCTTTAGGGGGGCTCTGGTGCCAGCCGAGTCCACGTTCTGGGTGAATCATTGGTGGAGCTGGTTGGGTAGTGCTTCCAGTGTGGTCTGAAGCCACTGGGTATGTTGGTTCTGGAGACTTGGGAGGGGCTTGGGTACAGGTCAAGGCCAGCTGCTTCCTGCATCTGGCCCAGGGTCACCTGGTAGGAGCTACACAGTGATCTGCACATGGCTGCCACTTGTGCTGGGCTTGGAGGTCCTGCTTGGGAGAGGCTGTGCTGTGAACTGAGGCCAGCTGCTGCTATCACTGATCTGTCACCGATCTTCAGACGCTCAGTGGGCACCACTCTTGGAGCCGAGGCCACCCACCACCTGTGCTGGACTTGTGGCCACTTAGTTGAGGCCGTGTTCCAGGCCAACCCTGGCTACAGCATTTGCCAGGCTTGGGGGGCTACCCGATGGGAATTACAGTGCGGGTTGAGATTGGTCACTGCTTGTGCCAGGTTTGCAGCTGCTTAGCAAGGGGTGCAAGGCACGCCAAGGCCAGCCACTGCTCATTTGGGTTCGTGGACCTTTGAGAGACTTAGGAAAGTGAGCAGTGAGCCGAGGCAGGCTGCTTGTGGGGAGGAGCTGCTGGAACAGGCTCAGCAGGGCCTGTTATTTGGGCAGGGTGGGGTGTTGGAATCACCAGGGTGGGGCCAGTGGTGTAGCCAGGTTAAACGAGAGGTCAGATTTGGTGCTCACCTGCTCTGGGTGGGCAGAGGCTTCAACAAAGGAAGAAGGGCACCTGCCAGCATTTCCGTACCCAGAGAGCTGTCCTGAGCCCTGACCCTCCAGCCCTCATCCTGATGTTAGTCAGTTCATCTCTCCCTATAATGTTCCTGAAGGTTCTCAAGTTGCTGCCTTAGTGCTGGAGCCAAGTGGCTTTGAGCACGTGAGTCTACGCAGGCCCTTAAAGAAGACACTTGGACCCCGCACCCCTCCATCTCAGAATCCCCGCCTATTCTAACAGCCAGATCGCGTGAGGACTCCTTTTCCCAGCACTGGCACCCTGGGCTGAGGAGTCTGCGTGGGGATGGGACGCACTCCTCAGGGGGGACCTCTGCAGCCGAGATGTCCCTCCCTATTCTGTACCGCCACACGTGGGTGTGGGCCCTGGCTGTTCTGTGTCTCCGCCCCTCCTACCATCTCCAGGCGGTGGCCTTACATCCTTAGTCACAGGACTTCCGTGCAGCTGGATTTCCGGGGTTCTCAGTGATGGCTGTTCTGTAATTTAGTTGTAATTCTGGCGTGTACCTACCCTGCCGTCTTGACCTGGAGTCACTGTATTGTATTTTTGGAAAAGCATCAGTCCGGTGGATTAGGAGGGGAAGTATTGGTCCTTGAGCACAGAGTTCGGGAGCTGCTCTAGAACGTGCACCTGAGAAGCGCAGGTCACCTGAGAGGGCAGCCCCTGGTCACGGCGTCCCCACTTGGTGACGGGGGGTAGGCAGGCAGTGTGGCTGTCCACACTCACCCCCTGTCCGCGTGCTCCTAGGTATTACTGGGCCTGCGTGACACCAGCAGCTCCATTGTGGCGGTCACTCTTCACAGCCTAGCAGTGCTGGTGTCTCTCCTGGGCCCAGAGGTGGTGGTGGGAGGAGAGAGAACCAAGATCTTCAAGCGCACTGCCCCAAGTTTCACGAAAACCGCCGCCCTCTCCCCCGAAGGTAAGGACTTCAGATGTCTAGCTTTTTATTGTAAGCGCTGTTGCTGTTTTAATTTATTAGCTTTTTAACATCATACAAGTTATGCACGTGGGTTTCAGTCAGTCAAATGGCACAGAGACGTACAGGGGGAAAACTTGGTGGCTCCCCCTCCTGACTCCTGGGGGGCAGGCAGCTGATATTGGTATTTTAGTGAGGATGCTTTCACCCCTTTCTTTAAGCCCACAAAAGGACAGATGCATACTTATACACACATGTAGTTTCTTTAAAAATGAGAAAAATACCGTGTACAACTGTCCAGCCTGATTGTTTTCTGTGTAGCAGCTCACCGGGGACCAGTCTCCGGCACACACGCCTCGCTCACCATTTCCACAGCTGCCTCATTTCACTGAATGTAATTCATTCAGTGGTTTCCCTGGTGATGCCTGTTACATCTGGATTTTTAACCACTACACTACAAACAGTGCTGTAGGAGACATCCTTATACACGTACCTCTGTGTAGTTTGGGTTTTGTTGCTATAGGATAAAGCCCCAGAAGTAGAGTTACTGGGTGAAAGAATGCACTTTAGATTTTAACAGATATTGTCAGTTTCCCAAACGGTTGTAGCAGTTCTTAACGCCACTAGCTGTTTAAGACCCGATTTTGTTGGGGAAAAGCTGTTGATTTTTAGGTACCTTAAGAAATCCTTGTTTCTGGTCTGTTCTCTTTGGATGTTACCTGGGAGACAGTGATTTCTGGCCTTTAGAGGCTATAAAAGTCAAGGGTAAGAATTCCGAATCAGTGCGGTTGCCTGTCCGCGCGTCTGCACGACCCCGACTAGGCCGGCGGCGAGGGCGTGGCGTCCCCAGCGCTGTGTCCCTGACAGCGGGGGCGGCGGCGGCACGAGAGGAAGGTCGTTAGGACAAGAACCATCACATAGGATTTTGTTTTGATGCCATGAGAATTTTTAAAGCAGCACGGGCTTGCAGAAGTTTTGAAGGGAGAGCAGCTTGTCCTTGGTGCCAGTGACACCAGTGTCACGTGGTTCCAAGGAGCGTGAGGTGATGCCGAAGCTGCCGCCTCTTCACTATGAAACATACACGCACTAAATTGGGTGAAGTCTCTGTCGCCAGCCAGCAAGTTTCACGCCAGGGGGATCCTGGCGGGAGGCGTTTATGTGTAATTTTGAGATAAAGCTTAGGGGTCATGTCAAATTAGCTGAGGTCTGAGGTCCTCGCTCCTCAGTGACACTGGTTTTATTTATTGGATGGAGTTCTCTAGTGCTGGACATTTTACATCCCGTCCCTCTGGGTTACTCTGTAATCTGAGACCCTGAAAAGGCACCAAATTGGCTGCAGGTGAATGTTTACTAAAGGATTTCCCTGGAGACAGAGGGTGAGCCACGCAGCAGCCTGCACGTGGGCACCAGGGCTGGCCCTCCCTAGGGGGGCACGTGCGAAGGAGGCACTCTGACGTGTTCCCTTCTCTTCTTTTACAGTTTACGTGTAAGGTCAGACTTATTACAAGTAAGGGCCCACATTAAAGTGTCTGCCACCTGAGGGGAAATAAGCCTGCGTGAGCGTTGGGAGAGGCAGGCTGGAGAAGGGGACACAGCAGGGAGGACAGTGGCAGGATTCGGCGAGGCCCTGCGAGAGGAGTGTTTACATGGTGCCCGACCCCACCCCGGGCTGTCTGTGCCCTCACCCTCTTAAGGCAGAGGAAGTATTTAGCCAAAGTTTTGATTGAATTCTTTCAGCGATGCCCACTCTTGAATAGGAATTTTCTGGTCTGAATCACCAGCGTCTTTAAAGGCTGTCATTTTCCTCATTCAGTGTGCTAAGGTTGTACCTAATCCAGCTCCTCACCTGACACTTGACTCCTTCCTGCTGCATCACCACGTGCACGCAGGCTGTCGTTAAACGCCTCTAGGACAGGTCATCCCATCACTAGGTGTGTTAAACACACCCGTGTCCGTTAACCGTTGCTCACCAAACGTGTGTGAGCAGCAGCGCTGACCATCCCTCTCGTTCTCTGGACTTTTTCTTCCCTTCAGACTCCCCCAGGCACGTTGTCTGCAGCCAGCACGGGCAGAGGTTGCCCAGCCTGTCCCCTAAGGGCTTCTCATCCGGCGGTGTGTCCACCCGCAGCCAGCAGCACGTGCCGCAGGACTGCAGCGCCCCTTTCCAGACAGGTAGGAACACTGAGACAGCTTTCCTGAGTTTAAATTCAGGAACACAGACCGACGTCTCTGTAATGATGTGGTCAGCTGGGCCTCATCTTTTTTCCTGGACTACAGGTGTGCACCGACATCCTCTTCAGAACCGGGAGAAGAGCAGGTGGCATTACTTGAATTCTTTTTTGCCCCAAGTACTTCACTCTGGGACTTTTGATGCCTTAGTGCAGCACTTTCCAAACTGTATGTTAGGAGGTGTGCCGGGAGCAGTGGTTAAACACGTCCAGTGCAGTGTTAGCGTCAGTGTGTGGCACAGGCTTCTGAATGCCCAGAGCACGCCAGGGCAATGTCTGTGTGAAGCGAAGCTGTGCTGAGTTAGGCAAAATCACCGGAACACACGCCACATAATGAATGTCGTGGGGGTCACCCTGTCTGCCTTAGAACATGTCTGTATTTGTTTATAGACAGTTATGCCAGTAAACAATTACATTTAGACACGGTTATTAAAGGGTGTGCTAATTGTTGCTTTTGCAGTTTAGTTTGCAAGGAGATGTCTAAGAAATTAGCTGTCTGTGTCCCTTTAACGTCACCCTGCCCCTAATGCATCCTTGCACATGTCCCCACAGGTGCTCAATTTTCTCAGCCTATTAAGTTTTCCATTAATGGAATTTCAGATGTGAACGATACCTCAGGACACAGTGGAAACTTCCCGTCAAGTCCCACCACGTCTGAGGAGTGGCCTGACTGGAGTGAGCCTGAGGACCCTGGGGACAGAACCGCCACTGCCCAGGTCCGGCCTCCGGAAGCCCCCGATGCTGTTGGGTCCCCTCTCCCCGACTTGGAGGTGTCAGCCGAGAAGTCACCCAGCAGCTTAGGTACTGAAAGGGACTCAGGAGGTGGCGTCACTGCCGCAGTCACCTCAGGGGAGGACCTCAAGCCTCTGGAATCAAGCCGACCCCAGAGGACCAGTCCCGCACCAAGCCTGGAGGACGCAGACCAAACCAAGCCACCTCAAGTGTCGTCACAAGAAAGGCGCCTTAAGGTCCCATCAGAACTTGGTCTAGGGGAAGAATTTACCATCCAGGTGAAAAAGAAGCCAGTCCAGGACCCCGAATTGGACTGGTTTGCTGACATGACCCCCGAAATCAAGCCTTCGGCTGTTCTTCTCGTTGCCCCTGCTCTGAGGGCGGAGGCGGTGGGCCGCAGCGAGGACAGGCCCCCAGCCGCGGTGCTGTTCTCTGCCAAGTTCGCCGCGGCCGAGACTGCCGAGGTACGTGCCCCTCGCAGGCGCCAGTCACACAGGCCCCTCCGCAGCACACCCCGTGCTGTTCTCCCACCAAGGGGAAGGACAGACTAATGTACACGGCGGGTTCATGTGGCCAAGGTGGCATATAGTGGGGAAAAAAGCGGTCTTGTTATTATCTTTCCTTCCCCAGCAATGCTTGGGCTAATAAGCGTTCCATGGACCAGTTATTAAAATCACCTTTTTACTTGGAAAAGAGATTAAACCAAGAATAAGGTGTCATCAAGGTTCTCTTCCAGTGCTGTCATTTGGTAAGACTGGAACCAAAGTAGCCTCTGCTTTCCAGCTCGTGGTGCAGTGAGGCAGGCATCTTACCAGCACGAGGAAACCATGTCCCGACACCAAAAGACACGGGTTGGCCCCCTGCACGTTTGGAGACGGTTTCTCAGCAGCTGCCCTGGCTTTGCTTTGTCTTGTTGCAGGCAGAGGCTGGAGGCTGGGGAGACGAAGGGGAGCTGAACTGGGAAGACAACAGCTGGTGACGACGGCTGTGAGTTAAACTTTAGGAAAGAGGATTCCTTTTTAAAAAACTCAAATACCTCAAAGCAGGCTCTGCAGCCAGGAAAACTCGAAAGCATCCTGTTCTCCTCCTACCAGGAGCTCGTTTCCCAGTCTGCCAATGGTGAGGGGCCTGGAGGGCGGGCTCGGGCCTGGGCGGAGGCTCTCGTGGGAGGAGCCTGTGTGCCTTTGACCAAGGCCAGTTTCTGTGAGGAGCAAGTGCTATGGAAAGGTGGACTCTACCACTTTTTTTCCAGGATAATCCTGGAAGAAAATAAATAACAAAAGTTTAAGCTGATTAGCTTAATTTTGTGCCATTTCTTTAACAGTGAGAAGAGTTTTAGCTCTATTATAAAATACAACCTACTGAAAAAAATTTGCTATAAAGTATACAAATGGTTTTAAATTGGCTAAGGTTTCCTTAGGCAGCTTATTTATGTTTACAGGTGTGCCGAGTGAACGGCCCTGGACAGTGTCTGGCTGTTCCACTCATGTTACATTGTACCAAAGTGCTTAATGAGAAATAGCCCCATAATCCTGTTCTTTAAATATCCAATAAAGACTATTTTCACTAGATCTAACTTTATAAAAGTTGTTTTATGTGTTAGAAAATGTATAGACATAATTACAGTATTTTCATTTACAAAATGTAGAATGACGACAATCATACCCAACTCTAAGGACAATATGGTCCATGCGAGTTTCACCCTAGAGAACACGGCGTTTTAGCTCATCGATCCTTCCTTGAAGCATCTCCAGTTCCGAGAGAAGCCCGTCTGGAGCGGGAGCCTGGTGCAGCAGTGACTCGATTGCGTCCAGGGCCCTCACTGCTGCCTGCAGCGCTGCCCCGTACTCCTCTCCCAAGGGGCGGCCCGGGCGGGCTCTCTTTGCGTGCGGCTGGCAAAGAGAAACGTGGGGTGAGTCGCGCCATGGCACCCACTCTAAAAAGGATAGAGAACTTTCCTTCTGGATTACAGCGAAGCTTACAGAACAAATTCTAAAACTAAAAAACTGGCATGTGCAAATTTTACTCTAGCCATTGGTTCGCCCCTCCAGCCCCACAGTCATCTAGAAAAACATGGGAAAGCATTTTTCTAAGTGGCGTCTCGTCCAGTAATGTGCAGTGAGTATTCTTTATAGACGTATAATATGTCCTTACAAAAAGCCCCAAGTATGGATTTTTCTAAATGCTTCATTTTCTTTTCAACACGAAGTTTCTAACTGCTGAGAGCTATGGGCTTTCAGACTCAGACGCTCTTGGAGCCAGGTGAGTGGACGGCCATCATAGGTTCTGGAGGACTCCTTTACGTCACTGATAAAATATGTAACTTTATAGGTTTCAAGCATAAAAGTTACATGTCCTGAAAACAAGTTAACATTTAAACTCATTTTCTTAAGAGCTGTATCAAACTTACTAGGAAATTGCTTCTCTTATGGATTACAATTCCAAATATACTACCAGTGCTCAAAACAAGCTTTTCAATATCCTTGGTGATGTCAGATTTTTCTGCCTTTTAATAAGTAGATGTGATTTCTAGACACTGCCAAAAATTAGAAGCTGGTCTGATGAATGAGCCAGGGATCAAGCTAAGCTGGTTTCCTTCTGAGTCATAAACTACATCTGTAGCATCACTGGTATAGACACAGCTTTCCCCAGGGTTACTGCAAACAACGGAAAGGAACAGTGACAGTGTATAGTTTCAAACCTCACTCTCTTGTTGTCCCACCTCTGCTGTATACGTGTTCATAACCTCTGAGGAAGAAATGTGATTTTTAAAAGTGCAGCTACCATAAAGCAGTGGCCCCTCTCCTCTCTCGAGGGCAGTCCGTACCTGCAGAGGGGGCCGCTCTGCCGCCAGCGGCGTGCGGGCGGACGACGCCCAGAGCAGCGCTTTCTCCTGTTTCACGCGTTCGGCTCTGGCAGCTGCTGTCTCATCCACAAGCCCCGTCTGCCAGAGATGACAACAGACAAGCAATCAGCATCCTCTACTAGGACCAAATGGTGTCACTTTCAGAAAACACACAGGTGTCACTGTTCTGCCTTCGCCTGTGAAGCAGGCAGATTGTGGAAGCTGGAATTTACTTTCTCCCGGTGTTCTAAATTTGTGGTTCAACTGTTCTGTTAGTGCTTCAGTTAACCCTTAACTTACGTCCCAACACTGTCCCCTTGTGAGTTTCCAGGTAAGCACAAACGGAGCCGTTTGGTTCTAACTGCACAGCTTTAAAAGCGTTACAGGTTAGCAAAGCAGGTCTTGGTCTCAGCGCAGAAAAGCCAAGCCTAAGTCATCTACATTACAGTGGGAGGCCTGAGCCTCTCAGGCCTGTTGCTCCGCATGCAAATCTAATCATGATGACTAACACTTTAGGGATCTGTCAACGCTACAGTATCCAAAACTACAGGCAGAGTGAGGCCAAGTGTAAACTTCTGTGACTTGGTTGCAACTATACAATTTTAAAAAAAGTAACATGATAAGTGACGGTATTATTTTGATTCTATTGTAAAATAAATACCTTCTCCAGAAAGGATACGACTTTGTTCTTCGTTTCTTCAGATCTGAGACACTCTGGGACTATCGCTTCATGATTCGTTCCCTATTGAAAAATTGGTAAGACCAATTTTAATTAGTTTCAACAACTTGCAAAGACACAGATGTTTTAAGGGCTCCCTTAATCAAAAATGCATTTTGAAAGAAAATCCGCAGGGCCTGAGGACACCCAGGAGATGGTTAGCTCAAGTCCTTCCAGGCTTAGAGTGGGCCACTCTGGCCCCTCAGCCCCGGGCCTCCGGGTCCCCTGACGACCGCATGACCACACAGCAAAGGGGGGGAGGGAAGCAAGAGCTCACGGCAGGGCCCCCTACTCTGCGGAGCCAAACGAACACGTGTGTGTTCCTCAACCTGACCCCATGGTGATGTGTTTTCACCCAACCCAGAACTAGCACCTGGGGGCCTGCCCGAGTTTGCGGACCTGGTTGGAGCATGTGTTCACTTGTCACCACCCACAGGACCTCAGTCATTTCATTTCTCTACGCCTCACTTTTAGACTGGTGATCGTTCCTCCATCAGAAACTGACAGGTAAGGTACAAAAGCAGCTCAGTAAAAATCTCTGCATGTTTGGAATGTCTGACACGTTGAAACGTTTTGAAGGTCACTGACAGACTGCGCGAACCTCAGCAAAGTGAGTGAAGGCCTCCACGGCGTGGTGCTCCAGCAGCCAGTTCCCGTCGGCCAGCAGCAGGGCGAAGACACACGACAGGCCAGGCAGGATTTTATCCTAAAAAGAGAACCAAACCCGATCAAATGCAGGAAAACCTTAGTAGAGTGCATTCGACATGCCTGATGTCAAGCTTCATAATTCTGTCCCAGAGAACACGCATCACAACGTTGTCACGTCGCTCCTTTGCTCTCAAATCCTTCCACTTGCCTCAGTAAAAACCAACAGTAAAAACCAAAGTCCTTACGTCAGCCTCGAGCCCCAGGACCTCTGAGCTACACCGACAAACCCCCAACGTGGGGGGAGGGGAGTTCCCCATTGCAGAGGCTGAGCCGGCTTCCCAGACACCTGCCTGGCTCACCCCCACTTCAGGTCTCGGCTCCCAGGTCACCTTGGCGAGGGCTCCACTGACTCTCACCCTGCTGAAAACTGCACCCCAGATACACACACTGTCTCCCACGCCAGACATCCATCCCTAGCGCTCACCACCTATCAACAACCTCACTCATCTCCTGAAACTTAACCTCACGTGACGAGATAAACGGTGTGGTCATTTACCTGTGAACAAGAAAGTCCTCAGGAAACAAACCAGGGAAATGTTTGCTTTCAAAGATTTTACTCATCGTTACTGATGTCCACTGTGGTTTTGACAAAGGTCCTCACCCGTGAGCTTTTACTCGTCTCTCCCGTGGAGGTGGGGACAGTCCCCCATCTAGAACTGTGGGGCTCTGGCCGCAGTAGCAGGCAGAACTCCAGGAAGGGGAGCATGGCTTCACACAGCCGCGGCGCACGCCAGGCCTTGGGGTGTGACTGCAAATACCTGCCGGTCAACTATATGTACTTGGTAACATTTTCAAAAGTATTGTCTTTAAAAACAAATGGGCTCCCTTGCATGGACACAAAAATCAAGAGAATCTCAGTAAATGACCCAATTTCCTCATACACTGGTCCCTAGAAGTAACTATGTTCTTCCCCAAGAACAGCGTGTGTTAGGGCCCAGCTGGACTCGGACTCACGGACTCCAGCCAACTCTACATATGTCAACATATACTTTTCTAAAAGAAAACTTAAAATGAGTTCTCTCTTGACAAAGTCACACATTTCTCTCTTCACAAAATAATCCCCGCCCCACTTTCATGGTCAACAATCCACAGAATTCAGAAGTTAAAAACCTAAACGCCCCTTAAACTCCGTCAATTATTAATGATTTTGTTAACAGCAACAACAATTAAGAGTTATTACCTGGAGAGCTTCAGATAAGAGAAGTTTTCCTAGTGAGGAGACAAAATCCAGCACTGCCAGGCGGACGTGGTCAGGGGGCTGTGACTGCAGCAGGGAGGCCTGCAGTGTTACGACCTGAGGCAGAGGCCAGAGAGGGTCTGAGTGGGAGCAGAGGCTGCAGAGACCTGACGACTGCCTGAGGTTCGGATGGGGCTGTGGGCGGGGAAAGAAGGCAACACCCGGACAGCCAAACACTCCGGAGCCTGAGGTTCTCGGGTGGAAGCCAAACGATCGCGGGGCTGAGTCGATGATTAGTTTTTCACACGGTGGCTGGTGGGGAGATCACTAACTGTTCCTGAAAACTATACCAGTGCTGCTCTTTCAAATTTTTAAAAACGGTTTTGTATTTTAAACTCCAGTGATAGAAGTTCATTATCATCAGCAGGGATTGGCAAACTGTAAAGGGCCAGATGGTAAATATTTTAGGCTTTCTGTTTTGTATTTTAAACTCCAGTGACAGAAGTTCATTATCATCAGCAGGGATTGGCAAACTTCTGTAAAGGGCCAGATGGTAAATATTTTAGGCTTTGCAGGCAACATGTTTTAAAGGTTTGTTTTATTTTACAAACCTTTAAAAATGTAAAAGTCATCCTTAGCTCTTGTGTTGAAAGCAGGCAGGCAGAATCTAGGCCAGAGGCCAGTTTGCCAACCTTAATGAACTATTGGTATCTAATATTTCAAAAAGGATATTAGAGCCTTCAGAATTGACAAATTCAAACTGCTGCAATCAATATAATTTGAATCAGTTATTTGACCGTATTCTCATAATCAAATAATCCATGTTACACATATGCTTTTTGTAAAAACCTAATTCACACACGTTTGTCGCTGTCCCCGATTCCCACACACTCAGCCTGAACCAGCACCACTGTGGGTTCACCCTACACCGCACCCTGCGATGGGTGGTTTCTCCCCTCCCCTCCTGAACAGCGAGGTTTAGTTTTCTCCTGTTTAAGTTTCCCTTTCTCTGTTTCCGATGTTAGCCTAAGCGTGAGCCAATTCCTGACCTGGGGGATCAGTTGTCCAGTCTGGACTCGTTCCGAAGCCTCTAAACCACTCCAGATAAGATGAAGCCCTTCCCTCTTCCCTTTTCTCTCCCCATCAGCCCAGAACTTCCAAAAGTGGGGCATGATGGAGGCCACACCACAGGCTCCCCGGACAGTGACCCCGGTTCTGTCTCTCCCGGGCTGGGGCCAGGGAGAGGACTCCGTAGTGCTCTTCCTTCAAAATCACTGTCTCTTCAGAGAGACACGACGAGGACTCCCCGGAGTCCAGGCCAGTTGTGGCCCCCTCCCGGGGCCGCCGTCACAGACCTCTGCCAGCGTCAGGCAACGAAGCGCGGCCTGGGCTGCTCTGTCAGGGACGTCAGGCGGCACAGGGACATCGGGCGGCACAGATCAAGGCTGCGCTAAGGGCCAGCGCATGAATGACAGTCCCGGAAGGAAGAGACACCAAACTGCTGGCCGAGCTCGTCCTGACGCGCCTCTGCGCCAACAACGAAGGCGCAGC